CAGGAAATAGGCTAAATGCTTCATTCGTGTGGTTTTGTTAAGTTCGTGTAATAACTCTGGGCGGTGGGTGTTCCCTTCACCCTGGAGGTGAGGCTGCCAAGTTCTGTGAGAGGTCCAAGCACACAGACCTAGTGAGGTCAGCCAAGAGCTGAATCCATATCTAGTTGCCCCCAAGTACCAAACCACATAATCGATAAGACATGTAAATAACTCGCCCATAATAAAAGTGGATCTGTTATGGGTATTTTTTTTTTAATCTGACAAAGAGAGACGAAGATGGTATTGGAACACAGAACGGGAGTCATTTCTGTTGACCCAATAAATGAAATCGTATTCAGTCAGAGGGGTGGGTGGGGGATTCTAGGCGCCTGATTCCCCTTCCTCTTCTTGGCGGGCAGAACCTGCTACTGGACAGCGGCAGGGGACAGGAGCCCCTGCAGGCAGGTCCTGCGGTGGGTGGTCTGGTCGGGGGAGGCAAGGTGCCGAGAGGCAAGGCCTGGTGAAGGCAGCCTTCAAAATAAAAACCCTCTTAATGCTCGAAGGCAGAACTCTCCGAGGATTTCTATCGCTCCTCTCCGAGTCACCAGTGCACCCTGTTTTGGAGTAGAGCCTACTTCAAAGCCCAGCACCTGGCCTTTGACCCCCATCCCTTCCACAGGAAACAAACAGCCTCTCCCACAGACCTGTGGACTCAGCCCAGCCTCCGAGAAAAGACTTCAGCTAACGGAGTCGGATTCTAGAAAGAAAGTCCTCAATGTCCTGTTGAGAACTGTGACTTGACTCTCCTTGCAAACCAACAAATTAGCCTGTAGCCGTCTCATGGCTGTTGGTAGAAGATGCAAGTTGTGGGTCAGAGATGCAGGATGATTTGTTACTCATCACAGTTAGTAGCCAGCATCTTTTTTCATTGTATTAACATTTTTAAAAACTGAGATATAAATCACATTCCATTTCAGTGGCTTTTAGTATACGCACAAGGTTGTGCCAACATCTGAATTCAAGAACATTTTCATTTTCTCCCAAATAAATCCCGTACCCATTAGCAGTCCCTCCGCCCTCCCCTTCCTCCCAGTCCCTGGAAACCATGAATTACTTCCTGTGGATTTGCCTGTTCTGGACATCTCATAGAAATGAAATCATGCAACGTGTGGCATGTTGTGTTTTCCTTCACGTAGCATGTTTCCGGGTCCATCCACGTTATAGCACATCACTCCTTTTTATGACTGAATGATATTTTATTACGTGGATATACCACAGTTTATCAACTCATCATTCAATGACATTTGGGTTGTTTCCACTTTTTGGCTGTTAGGCATAATGCTGCTCTGAACATGGGTGTACAAGCTTTTGTGTGAACATATGTTTCATTTCTCTTGGGTATATACCTAGGAGTGGAATTACTGGCTCACATGATAGCTCTATGGTTAACTTTTTGAGGACCTACCAAACTGTTTTCCAAAGCAGTTGTTCCATTTTACAGTGGCACCAGCAATGTATGAGCTTCCAATTTCTCCACTTTCTCGCCAAAAGCTGTCTTTTTTACTACAGCCATCTAGTGGCTGTGAGGTGGTATCTCATTGTGGTTTTGATTTCCTTAAGTCAGTGGTTCTCAACCTTCCTAATGGCACGACCCTTCAATACAGTTCCTCACGTTGTGGTGACCCCCAACCATAAAGTTATTTTCGTTGCTACTTCATAACTGTAATTTTGCTACTGTTATGAATCGTCATGTAAATATCTGATATGCAGGATGTATTTTCATTGTTACAAATTGAACATAATTAAAGCATAGTGATTAATCACAAAAACAATATGTAATTATATATGTGTTTTCCGATGGTGCGACTCCTGTGAAAGGGTTGTTTGACCCCCAAAGGGGTCACGACCCACAGGTTGGCGACCCACAGGTTGAGAACCGCTGCCTTAAGTAATGAGCATCTGCTCATGTGCTTATTGGCCATTTGTGTGTCTGTTGTTACAGTATATTGTTATAATTGTTCTATTATAGTAGTATATGTTAATCTTTCCTAAAAATATATATTTTTATTGATTTCAGAGAGGGAGAGAGAGAAACATCAATGATGAGAGAGAATCATTGATCAGCTGCCTCCTGCATGTCTCCTACTGGGAATTGAGCCTGCAACCCGGGCATATGCTCCAGCTGGGAATTGAATTGTGACCTCCTGGTTCCTAGGTGGACACTCGACCACTGAGCCACGCCAACCGGGCTATATGTTAATCTCTTATTATGCTTAGTTATAGATTAGACTTTATTATAGGTACTAGAAGCCCGGTGCATGAAATTCGTGCACGGGGGGGGGGGGGAGTCACTGTTGTTATAATACTTTTGCATTTGTTTTATTTCTACATATTTATATATAAACTAGAGGCCCAGTGCACAAAATCCGTGCTCTTGGGGGGGGGGGTTCCCCGGCCTGGCCTTTGCCCTCTCATAGTGCAGGAGCCCCGCAACCGATCTCCCCAAAGAGGTAGGCCCAGCCCACCCACCCAGGGCTCCTCGATGGATTGCCCCAAAGAGGTAGGCTGGAGCCGGGGGTCCCGCCTCCACACCGCACACGCAGCGTCAAATCCCCGCCCACCCGCGTGCCTCATCCGCATGCAGCCCCGCCCACTGGCACGCACCCGCTGCGCGTGCAGCCTCCTGGTGATGGATTGTTACGGCGTGAGGGCATCATGGTGTGAGGGCGTGATGACCACATAGGCTTTTATTAGTGTAGATGTATGTATAGGAAAAAACAGTATAGTATATAGGGTTTGGTACTGTCTGCAGTTTCAGGCATCCACTGGGGGTCTTGGAATACACATCCGTGGATAAGAGGGGACAACTACTGTATAAGGGACAGAAAGAAAGTCATAGTTAGGGCATGTCTTCAGGTTTCAGGAGTCCCTAATGACAACTGTTAACAGCAACAGCCTTTGCTGATGGGCCGGCCTCACTGAGAGCATTGGTTGAAGTCCCAGTGGATGGAAAGATGTTGGCAGGGTTTTGTATTTTGCCTTTGTATTTGTGTGTGTGGTGGTGGTGGTGGTGGTTTTTCTCTCCTCTCACCCTCAAGCACATTTTCTGAAAAGTAGTACTTCCTGAATCTGCTCGATACCATTGAACAGTAATTTTTGACCTTGGCTGCACATTAAAACCATCTGGGGAGCTTTTAAAAAATATTGATGCTTTAATCCCAACCCCAAAGAAAACTAACTGTCCAGCAGAATCTCATTTGCAGTCAGCACTGAGAACCATCGCCAGGGAGCCGGGCTTGGCGGACTTTCTCCGCAAAGAGTCAGATAGTAAATATTTTATGCTTTGCAGATCATGTACCTCTGTCGCAAATGCTCTACTCTGGGGTAGTAGCCTGAAAGCAGCCTAGACAATAAGTAAATGAACGTGTGTGGCTGTGTTCCAATAAAACTTTATTGAGAAAAAGGTGGTAGGTTGGGTTTGGCTTGAGGCTGTGGTTTCCTGACACCTGCTATAGAAGATACAAAAATATGAAGTAGTTTTCTACTCTAATAATTGGTAAAACCTAAAAAGAAGACAGCTGAGGTTTTGCAGAGAATGAAAAGAATGTAGGATTTGAAGTTAGAATCCCTGGGTTCGAATCCTGACTCTACATTGGCTGTGTAGTCTTAGGGAAGTCACTTAGCCTCTCTGATCTTTGTTATATGCTTCTGAGAATGAGGACAATAATAATGTGCACTTTACAGGGTAATTTTATAGAAATATTTTTAATTGATTTTTTACAGAGAGGAGGGGAGAGGAATAGAGAGGTAGAAACATCGATGAGAGAGAAACATCGATCAGCTGCCTCCTGCACACTCCCCACTGGGGATGTGCCCGCAACCAAGGTACATACCCTTGACCGAAATCGAACCCGGGACCCTTGAGTCTGCAGGCCGACTCTTTATCCACTGAGCCAAACCAGTCAGGGCATAATTTTAAAGATCAAATGGAATAAGGTTGGTGAAGGTGCCTTATAAACTGAAAATGCTAAGCACATATTGCTTGTCCTGACAAATTGCATGTTGCTCAGCATCTTGTAGATTCATGTGTAATAAACATTAAATATTTAAAAGTAAAAGCAAATTAGAAAATTTGAATTTAAATGTAATATAAACATGAAGACTGAGAAAAATGAGTTATACATAATGTATGTCTAATTTCCTCACCCAACAAAGTGACTTTAGATTGGTAAAAGCTGCTTTTAAAAGAAGATTGTATAAATGTCACACATTTTTTTCCAAAATAGAATTTCCTAGGTAAAAAATGTTTTTTTATCACAGTTGTGGAATTTCCAAGTGCAGTGTGCTGGGAGGGAAGCAGGAAGGAGGCTGTGAGGAGAGGCGAAAGTAGGAGTCGGGCGGAGGCCTGCAGGCACGCTCCCCGGTGGGCAGTGGGAGACATCGGGGACCGTAAAGAAAGCCTTTCGTCCTGGCTGGTGTGCTCAGTGGTTAGAGTGTTGGCCTGTGCACCGTGGATTCAATTCTCAGTCAAGGGCATGTACCTGGGTTACACGTTTGATCCTGCCCCGTGTGCGGGAGACAATTATCCATGTGACTCTCTCACATAGATGTTTCTCTCTCCCTCCCTCCCTCCTTTCCACTCCCTCATGGTGAGGACTAACAAAACAAACAAAAAAGCAAAATTTAAAAAAAAGAAAGCATTTTTAGTAGGGCAGGAGCCAGACTGCGGGTAGTTAGGAGGGAGTGGGCAGAGAGGACACAGAGGCCTTAGGAGGAGATGATGTGGCAGAAAAGTAGGGTGTAGCTCAGAAGGCCATCAGGTTCCTGGAGACGTTAGCTCAAAGAAAGGGGGTGGTGTGTATGTGGAATGAGGGGCCCTCGCTAGCCCAGTGGAAGGAGTAGCCACTGGGAAGGGAGGCAGCCGGAGGGCAGAGGAGGAGGAAGGCTTGAGAGCAGGTGTGGAGAAATGCCCAGAGAGGGGAAGGTGGCCGGAGCCCTGGGCGAGCGGAGGCCAGGCTTCCATGAGGAAAGTGGGCGGGAGACTTGCAGAGAAGGTGTGTGAGCAGCTTGAGGGGAGGCTGAGCAGAGACAAAAGCCCTGTCCCTCAGCACACTGCCTGCCCTCCCCTGGCCTGCACCTCTCTTACTCAGACTTCACTCTGCCCCGTGGTCTGTTCACTTGACTGTCTTGTCTGTAGCCCCGCTGGACCGATGAGCTTCACTTGGAGGCAGGACATGTCTTTCTTGCCTCTGTATTTGCATCACTCAGCACAAAACCCGGCACACACAGCACGTCATAGGCTTTCCATGAAGTATGTGTTCCGCTGGTTACAGATTGGCTGGTTGGGGGTCTGAAACCTTGAGAACCAGTTGTAACTTTTGTCTCTGAGTCTCTTTCTCTTGCAAACCCCGCCTTTGTAGGAGGAAATTCGGTACCTGCTGAAGGACTTCAACCCTCTCCGTGTCCATAGGGTCCAGAGTGGCTACAAATGGTAATGACGGCACTTCCTGTGTTTTCTTTGGGAAGCGACTCCTTTCCTTTTGGTCCATTCTGCTGATGCACGGACATTGCATGCTGGCCGCTGAGCTCCCAGGCCCACACCCACTGGGACTTGGCCCAGTGACATCTGGAAGCCCCCCTGGACTTGTATGGCCCACACAGCCTTGGTTTAGGAGTCCAGAGGCCTGGATTTATCTTTGTAACATCCTTGCTCTGTTTTTGACTTGAGGTAGATGACCAGACCATCCGTAGCCTGGTTGCCCCTGGAAACTGGGCCTACTCATATCTCCCCTTTCTTATTTTCAGGGCAGTAAGAGCGCTTTGACCTTTGGGGGGAGTAGTAGGAAAGAAACCCCAAGCCCTATGTAGCCAGATGGTGTTTAGCAGCAGAGTCAACACACACATGTCTTCTTTTTTTTTAAAAAAAAAAAATATTTTATTGATTTTTTACAGAGAGGAAGGGAGAGGGATAGAGAGTTAGAAACATCGATGAGAGAGAAACACCGATCAGCTGCCTCCTGCACACCCCCTTACTGGGAATGTGCCCGCAACCAAGGTACATGCCCTTGACCGGAATTGAACCTAGGACTCTTCAGTCCACAGGCCCACGCTCTCGCCACTGAGCCAAACTGGTCAGGGCACGCACACACGTCTTCTGATCCCTGCTGCTCAGCCCAGCCCAAGCCTGGGCCTCAGTGACTTGTTTGTGTGTCTGCAGCGCCCCCCTCTGGCTGGAAGGGGAGGAGAGTACCTGCGTTGGGGCTTGGCTGCCTCCCGCAGCTCCGGCAGGATGTGCTCAGAGCTGCCCTGTGTCCTTCCTTGCAGCTTCGCGTTCGTGGACCTGGGCTCCGTGCAGAGAGTGGCGCTTGCGGTCCAGGAGCTGAATGGGACGCTCTTCCACAATCGGACACTGTATGTGAATCCCTGCAGAAGCTCTCCCAGGCGGCCCCCGGAGCTGCAGGTACATGTTCCAGGCTCTCCGTGCTCTGGGGGCTGGTGCTCCTCATCGGGGGGCTGTGGATGAAATTAGGGAAACTTTCTGTTGTTGTTGTTAATCCTCCACCTGAGGATATTTTTTCCCCATTGATTTTTAGAGAGAGAGTGGGAGGGAGCCAGGGAGAGGGAGGGAGGGAGAGAGAGAGAAACATCAGTGTGAGAGAGGGGGGCTGGGAATCAAGCCTGAAATGGAGGTACATGCCCTTAACCATAATCGAACCTGAGACCCTTGAGTCTGGGCCGACGCCCTAACCACTGAGCAAACTTTAAAAATAGACCCTCTCCATTTGTTGTATGTTTCTGATCAGTTTCCAGAATCCTGAAACGGTTGTCTTTGTTTTTGTTTTGTGTTTTTAATCCTCCCTGTAGGGTATATTTTTATGATTTTAGAGAGAAGAAAGGGGAGAGGGAGGGAGGAAGGAAGGAAAGGAGGAAGAGATAGATAGACAGAAAGAAAGAAACATCAATCAGTTGCCTCCCAACTAGGGATTGAACTCACAACCTAGGTATGTGCCCTGACTGGGAATTGAACCCAGGACAATACTCCAACCCAACGTGAGCCACTCAGCCAGGGCCTGAAATGGTTGTTTTTCACAATTGTGTCAAGTCTTATCATGCTTTTTGGGGAGAGGATTTATCAGTTGGAATATTTTGTAGTAAAATTGTTTTCAAGAGGAGAGAAGGTACAATTGGGGAATCAGCTTCACTAGTGCAACATACACATCCAGGAAGAGTTCAGGTCACACGAGGGAGAAAGTATCAAGTGGCATCCACTCTCTCAGGAGTAAAGGATATGAGTTTCCAGAGTGAGAACCACCAATGGGTGCCCAGGATAAGTGACGGGAAAATAAAAACGGACACCCGGGGCACATTATAGAAATATTTTAGAATTCTGGGATAAAGCTTCAGAATGAGAATCTACATGGAAGGGTATGGGATTGTGTGGTGTCGTTGAATTCTGCAGGAAGATGATGGCCAACCACAAATCCATTCTCTCTTAAAAAAAAAAAAAAAGAAATGTAGAATCTCAGAAATATACCCCTCATGTACCTGTTCTCAGAAAGCTACGGAGGGATGTGCTCCAATAAAATGGAGCAGTAAGCTAAACAACCAGGTGATCTAGGAGATCCAACCCAGGAGAGGGGTCTGAGACTTCCGAGATGATGACAGAGGGGTAGAAGAGTTGTGCAGCAGCCAGTCCAGGACAGAGCAGGATGGTGTGAGACTGCAGGATAATAGTTGCATGAAGAAAAATGGAAAATTGAGTGGAGAGGTATGATAAAGAGCTATTGGTGGGTGGGAAAACTGAGCCAGAGATTTAAGAAAATCCAAGTAGTAAATGGAGGGAGGAAAAAGCAGTTAATTCCTGGGGCAAAGATTGTGTAAGAATGAAAATGATCAATCATAATACATAACTTAATTCATCTGTGATTGATGTTTACATCTCTCTATATAAAAGCCTAATATGCTAATTGTCCCTCCGACCCTTCGACTATTCGACCAGTTGCTATGACATGCACTGACCACCAGGGGGCAGATGCTCTGACCGGTAGGTTAGCTTGCTGTTGGGGTCCAGCCAGTCAGGACTGGGTGAGATGGACCGGACATGCCCTGGAGCCCTCCCACGGTCCCTCCCCGGCCAGGGTGGGGTCCCAGATTGCGAGAGGGTGCAGGCCAGGCCAAGGGACCCCACCGGTGCACAAATCGGAAGGGTTCCGGGTTCGATTCTGGTCAAGGGCACGTACGTCGGTTGCAGGCTCGATCCCTGGCTCTGGTAGGAGCAGGTACAGGAGGCAGCCAATCAATGTGTGTCTCTCACATTGATATTTCTCTGTCTCTCCCCATTTCTCTAAAAATAATGGAAAAATATCCTTGGGTGAGGAATAAAAAAAAGAGAGAGTTTGGGCAGGGAGCAAGGTAACTAGAATTAACCAATTTACATTAAAACACCAACTTAATTGAAGTATTAAGTATACTAGTGAAGTATGGCTTCATAAAGTTTGATGAATTTTGACATATGTAATGTCAGCAGATGGTCGTTGGTGCCAATTCAAATACCAACAGGAATGCACAATTTGGGGTGCAGTGAAGAAGGAAACTTGGGTGTAAACAGCTCCGCATTAGTGCAGCATGGCCGCTGCGGTGCAAACAGCTCCACCATGCTGCAGGGTGGCATTGCGGCTACCCGAGCCAGTGGTCCTGGGACCAGGCCTCTCCAGCTGGGCAGCTCCACTCTGCCATGGCCCACTCTGCGGTGTCTGCCCCAGTCTGTCCCACTCCACCCGCCACGGTCTGCAGGTCGGCTCCATGCTGCCCTCTCTGAACCATCTTCAGCCAGTAAACCCAGTTTTCAGTCTTAGGTGGAAAATGGGCACCCCCAGAGCCAGAGGGGAGCTGGCTTATAGCCAGAATTCCTGGCCCCTCGTCCCTGATGAGTCAGAATAGAACTGCTCTGATTGGTTGGAGCTGTGCAGCTCCAATTGGATGGGGAAAGCCTCAGTCCTATTGGTTGAAATAGGACTCCAAGAACTTTTAAGGGCTGGCTCAGAGGTCAGAAGCACCGTGCAGGCAGGCCCTTCAGTGGACACGGGCAGTTCAGCCCAGAGCCTTCTCTGGGAAGTGCTGTTTGCATGAGAGGCCTCTGGGCAGAAATGGCTGCTAGGCTCTGGGCAGAAATGGCTGCTAGGCTCTGGGCAGAAATGGCTGCCAGGCTCTGTTGTTTTTTTAAGACCGAGTAGCCACCAGGAGCCCTTCTTAGTCCTTAGGGTTTACAGTACGAAGCCATATAACCACCACCACAACCCAATCTAGAACATTTTAATCACCCACTAGGTTCTCCTGTGTTTTCCCAATCAGCAGTCCCCCTTCACGTCCCTGGCAACGCCGATCTGCTTTCTGTCGCGTCAGATGAGCGTTGTCTAGAGTTTTGTGTCCGTGGAATCCTGCTGTATGTGCATCTCTGTCTGGCTGCTTCCACTCGGCGGAATGTCAAAGAGATTCACCCGTGTGGTTGCACCATCAGCAGTTCTCTTTTCATTGCTCAGTGGTGTTCTGTGGTATGGACGTGTCACTGTTTGTCCAGCCATTCACCGGGACTTAAGTTTTAAAGGGACCCAGTAGAATAGCTTCCAGGGACCAGAGTGGAAGCAGGAAGACCTGTCACAGGTGCCCCAGGTAAGAATGAAAGTGTCTTGTCACGCCCGCCCCAGTGCTGTTCTGCAAACACGCCCAGCTCATGCCCACCTTGGCCTTGGACCCGCCGCCTTCAGCCCACAGGCTCTTTCCCAGGTGTCTACGGGGCTGGCTTTGTCACTTCATTCAGGTCCTGTTTAGCTGTCACCCCACCTCCCCTCCCACACCCTTCATCCCTGCCCCTCGCCTGTGCTTCTGCATGGCCCTGTGGCCCCTGGTGATATACCTGTTTGTACACGTACTGTCTGCTGCCTCCATCCAAGTGTGAGCACCTAATGGCAGTGTTTGGAAGGTACACATTTTATAAATATTTGTGGGGCGACTGAACGTGGGCTTCCTGAGAACGGGGTCTGCGTCATTCGCCTTTGTTGCTCGGTGCCTGGCCCATAGCGGAAGCACAGAGTGCATAACCTGGGGGAGAGGAAAGCTGTTGAGGGCTCACGCTGTAAATGTCACATTTCCACAAAGATGCGCCCTTCTGGTGGCCCTGGTGCGGTTCCCTAGGTGGGGTGAGAGGCCTTCAAAGCCCATGGCCCCGAGTGACCAGCAGCAGTCGACCCAGAGGCCGCGGGCAGGGAAGCTGCCACTGTTCCGGGTGAGGCCTGCGCCCCTGCTGAGCAGTGGACCGAGGGCTTCTCCCTGGTGTGTGTCAGGCAGGGGTGGGGAACCTTGTTTCCGCCAAAGGGCCATTTGGATATTTACCGTGTAACATCATTCTTGGGCCACACAAAATTATCAGCTTAGAAATCAGCCTGCTCTGTTCGGTCACACATTTAATGAATTCCTAATGCCTTGGCAGGGCCAGACCGAATGATTTTGCAGGCCTTATGGTGTGTGTGGGGGGGCGGGCCCATGGGTCCGCAAGGCCAATCGTTCCCCACCCCTAGTGTCGGGGAACCAATGGACCCCCCCATCCACCCCAGTGCTTTCTGGCCACTGACCTTTGTGTGCCCGGTGTCTTCTCTCCCACTGCTCAGACTCGCCGGCATCGTTCTGGAGTCTGCTGCCCCTTAGGACACTTGGCCAGCTGGTAGCAGTGCCCAGAACAAAGTAAAGCGCCCGTTCACAGCCGGTGATTGCTCTGGGCATGAGGGTCCCTGTGCTCGTAGCAGCGATGGAACTTAATTTAAACCGTCCGGTTTGGCAGAGATTGAGATGCCGCCCGCTCTCTGTCGCTCCCGGGGGGCCGCCTTGGTGACACGCGCACCCTGGCATCCGAGGCTTGTTTCTGGGCGACATGCTACGGTGGCTGGATGATAATAGCATATTTTCCTCTGAAACTTAATTTCACAAACTGTCAGAAAAGGCTTGTTATATTTATCTCTGAAATCATTAGGGAGTAATAATTAGACAAGAACGGTTGAACGTGTTTACATATTGATGATGATTTTTAGCTTGAAGCCGTCGCTGAGAATTGGTTCTCGGGGTTGGTACTCGGGGCTGTCTTAAGAGATTTTAAATAAACAGTCACCTGTGCTTGGCTGGGGGGCAGGTGTTTGCACGGTCACCTTGTCTTGCTGCAGGTGCACAGGTGGGGCCGAAGGTTCCACATGCAGATCGGACTGGTCTCCGTGGTTGACAGGGAGTTAGCCGCTGCGGAGGGCTCGCTCTGCAGGCTTCTTGCTAACCGCGTTGTTGTGCAAACTCAGTCACAGCAGCCGGTGCTGTTACTCTCCCGTCCTGCAGATGAGGAGCAAGTCACCAGCCCACAGTGAAGGAGACCTGTCAGTTCTGGAACCAGGAGTGGATTGCTCTGGGCATGAGGGTCCCTGTGCTCGTAGCAGCGATGGAACTTAATTTAAACCGTCCGGTTTGGCAGAGATTGAGATGCCGCCCGCTCTCTGTCGCTCCCGGGGGGCCGCCTTGGTGACACGCGCACCCTGGCATCTGAGGCTTGTTTCTGGGCGACGTGCACCTGTGGCCATATTCTCATCCCGCTCCTATCTGTTAAGCACCTTCTTCATGTCGTGTCCTGAACCAACACGAGCCCGAGTACATCTTCACATCAGTGCAGATGTGATTCATGGAGGAGAAGAGGAAGCCGAGGCTGAGAGAGTTCATAACTTGCCCCAGGAGTCCATAACTTCTCCTTCCTTCCTTTCTTCCTCTCTCCCGCCCTCCCTCTCTCTTATTCTCCCCTTTCCTCCTCCTCCTCGTATCCCTTCCATTAATCCAGCCACCCACCCCATCCATCCATTCACCCAACATCTGTTTACCGAGAGCTTAATAGGCACTGGGGAGCGTTCTAGGCCCCGGGCTACCTCCGTGTAATTGTCAGAAGACAAATGTGATTCTTATTCTCATGATATTTGTGTTCCAGTGGGAAGAGACCTACAGTAACCGATAAGTAAGAAAATGCCAGCCCTACGCACTAATTAAAATAAGCTGATGTGATGAATGCGAGGGGGCTCACTTCTTTAGATGGTCTTCAGGGGGGCCTCTTTGTGAGGAAGTGACGTGTCACCTGAGATCTGAATGGACAAATCAGAGCCCCTCCTGTAAAGACAGGAAGAACACTTAATTTCAAGCCACAATACCTGCAAAGGCCCCAGGGTGTGATGCGGCGGGAGGAGGGGCAGAGGGCAGAGAGGAGCCCAGTGGGAAGGAGGGTCCTAGCGTGGCATCCTCGAGGAGCCCAAGAGGCTGGGTTTTACTTTCAAGCACAATGGGAAGAGGTTGGAAGGATTTAATCGGGGGAGTCATGTGAATTGAATTTTCGTTGGTGAGAGATTGTATCTGCTGGGTGGCGACTGGATTCTGGGGCCAGTGTGGCAGCAGGAACTCTGTGGACCATGTTGCTATGGTCCTGGGACGCGGTGGCAATGGCTTGTATCCTGGCGGCAGATACGCATAGGGGGGAGCCCGTGGGTTCTGGTGTGTTTTGGAAGAAGAGGCGGCTTGGCTTGCTGATGAGTCTGGTGTAGGGAAGCCAGGGAGAGAGATGAACGTGGCCTGAGCCACTGGGTAGGTAGTGATGTAATTTGTGAAGTCGAGAGAGCTGGGGCGAGGCGGCGTGTGCAGGGTCTAGTTTAGACCTGCTGAGTTCGTGTACCTCTTAGTTGTCCGGTGGAGCAGACATCTCTACATTTGAGTTGAATTCCAGAGAGCGATTAAGGCTGGAGGTCTGATTTTGTGTTAATCTGTTGATTCCTAAAACCACAGAACTGGAGAGGACCTTGGAGAGAAGGTAGATGGGAGAGCGGACCAATTCCTGGGGTTGGCCGGCATTGGCTGGGTCGGCTCATTTCAAGGGCCAGCCAGTCAGCCTGGCCAGCGTGGCTCAGTGGTTGAGCGTTGACCTATAAACCAGGAGGTCACAGTTCGATTCCCAGTCAGGGCATATGCCTGGGTTGTGGGCTCGATCCCCAGTACGGGGCATGCAGGAGGCAGCCAATCAATGATTCTCTCTCATCATTGATGCTTCTAGCTCTCTCCCCCTCTCCCTTCCTCTCTGAAATCAATTAAAATATATTAGAGGGCCAGCCAGTGAAAGATGAGGAAGACCGGACGTGTGCAATGTCAAGGAAGGCCAGGGGAGCAGTGTTTCTAGGAAGAGGGAGTGGGTGGAAAACCGCCGGTGAGCTCAGCGCGGAGAACATGAGGATGCAGCAGCTCTCAGGTCACGCTGACCTGGTGCGAGCGGTTTCAAGGCGGCCTCCTTGGACTGTGCTGCGGGGAAATGTCAGGTGGGGAAGCAGACAGGAGACAGCACTGCCAGCGGCGGAGCAGAGGAAGCTGGCAGCTAGAGGGGAGGGCGGTCAAGCCAGGGTCTCAAACATGGATGACAGGGCATGTTCCTGGTGGGAGGCGTCCACAGAGCCATGGGGGAGGAAGAGGGCACGCCCTCAGGGCTGCTGTCCTTGAGAAGGCGAGACGGTGTGAGACCCAGAGTGTTAGGGCAGGTACCTGGTGGCCAGGGCAGCAGGAGGGATGGCGGAGAGGGCGGGTAGGGGCTTGTATGGAGAGAAGGGGGGACCTCCCGTCCCACTGCTGCCAGTTTTCACCTGGTAAAGAGGCAGGTTCGTCGGTGGGGTGGGGAGTGGGGTGGGTCTGAAGAGGCGTGAAGTCGTCCGTTTGGCGAAGCGGAAAGGAAGCTTACGAGGGGCTCAGGTGGGACTGTAGCGTGTGTCCAGGAGAGAACAGGGGCCACAGGGGCTCGCTGGCAGCGGTCAGTGGCCAGAGCAGGGGAGCAGCAGGGCAGGCAGAGACATGGCTCTAAGCAGGGGTGCGTTTTCCAGGCGAGGACAGTGGGAAGGGGCACCAGCATGGGTTGGGGGCTGCAGGGCTGTAGTGAGGCGCAGGGCACCCAGACCTTTCTGTCTCCACGTAACCCGGCTTCCAGTGTAACCGTTCCCACCTCCCCCCCCTCCCCCCCGCAAGAAGGTCCAGCAGGGACCCCCAGGGGCTCCGAGTCTGGCCTTTGGGACTGTGAGTCCTGCGGGAGCCCCCCTGCAGCTGCCTGCCCCCCCTCCCCTGTTTCTGAGCGTCTTCTCCTGGTTGGCTCAGGGTCCAAGCGAGAAAGAGCGTGAGTGGGTGTCAGACTCAGCGGACGCCGGCGGCGGTGCAGGGGCTGTGACACTTTGCCTCCAAGTCCACTTGGAGTGACTCCACGTACACATCGATAGAATAACTGCTGCCACGCCTGAGCGATGCCTGTCTCCTTCTCCCTAGGTGTTGGAGAGGCCTTCCCGTCGAGGATTTGCCGAAATCGCTGGTGAGATCCCGTGTCCCCAGGACGTGTCTTCCCAACGCCTGACTCAATTCTCCCAGCCCCTCTTTCAGCTCTGCCCCCTCCCCCTGTGGGCCTCTCCGTGGGGGAAATACCCCAGTTTATTCCTCCAGGATGCTTTCTTGATTAATGACTATCAGGCAGCACACCCTCCCCACCCAGCTGAAGATACAGAGCAGCGGTTCTCAACCTGTGGGTCGCCACCCCTTTGGTGGTCGAACGACCCTTTCACAGGGGTCGCCTAAGACCATCCTGCATATCAGATATTTACATGACGATTCATAACAGTAGCAACATTACAGTTATGAAGTAGCAACGAAAATAATTTTATGGTTGGGTCACAACATGAGGAACTGTATTTAACCCTTTGCGGCCGTATGTCTGCTCTCAGCCACCACAGCAAGGAACGGTACGAATCTTAACTCTATTCATTCATGTATCAGTTCATAATTTCTCTGAAAGCTCTTAAGTGTCTAAGCGACCTTGTCACGAACCAAAACATTGCCCCGACAAATCGGAGATATCGAAACTCAATATAAACAAACGCGGTCGTTCCACACTCGCCATGCAAAACACCGTGGCGAGTCAGTCGCCTTTTGAGAGTGAAGAAATCGACAAGCTTCGGAGATACTTCGCCAGAATTTCAATAAAGCTTTACAAATTACGTTTAACTGTAATTAGGCATTCTCGCTTGTTAAGATATTTCAAAATAATACTCCAAAATGGCAAAAAGAAAGTTACCGAAAGAAGAAAGTAACGACGAAGAGTTTTATTTTGGCATCTTGAATACTGACTCTGACATAGAAAGTGATAACGTTTGTAGTGATTCTACTAGTAGTGATGTAGTTCCAAAATAGAATTAATAAATCTTGTTTATCCTTCATAATCTTGCATGTTATGTATCACTGCTCTTTCAATGGAAATTAATTCCGACCAGTACGACACCCATGTCCAAATTTAATACGACCGCAAAGGGTTAAAGGGCCAGAAGGTTGAGAACCACTGACCTAGAGGCTGAGGTGTGGAAGGACGAGGCCGAGTGGCCCATCCTGTCCTACCTCTGAGGGTGGGGCCAGGGCGTCTAGGGGGGCAGGGTCAGCTCTGGTGCCTCCAAGACTCACTCTCCTGCTCTCCAGCTTATCTCCAGCTCACCCCCAAAGCTCCCGGTGACCCCCGAAAGACAGCGAGACGGAGGACACCCTTATTTGCAGTCCCCATGGAAATGAGGTCAGTGGAGGGGTGCAGGGCCCACCAGAGCAAGCGGCGCCTGCAAACAGCATTCCGTCCCTAGAGGGTGGTAGGGGTGGTCCCCGTGTGGGAGTTAAGTTCTCAGGAGCTCCAGCACCAGACCCACAGGGACCTAAGACAATCTGTTTCCGTTTTGGGACAGTGAAGGCCTGTGGCTGTCCCCCACCCCGGGTCCCATGCGGCCATCATGCCCACCACATCGTCTGCTTTAACAGTGGACACCATTCGTCATGTCAGAGATGCCGGGATCATCTCGGATGGGAGCATGCTGTAGGACGAGTGGTTTGTGTGTTTTTCCACGGCAGCAGGTCTGCCTTGCTGACCACACGGGTGCCTTAGGTGATGGAGTTAGTGGGTGGGAGGCTGGAGTTGGGCATGAAGTAGACACAGGAGGAGCGATTTGGGGATTGAAGACGTGTCCTGGGTTTTGGACAGTCCACCCCCTGCTTCAGGTGGTCGGCCCAATGAGGGCCGACCTGTCTGTGGGAGCCTGGGTGTGTGTTTGTTTTCCTCCAGGACCCGCCCCCCTTCCCAATCTCCCTCTCCCCTCCCTGCTGCCCTGGTGCTGCCTTCGTTCTGCGTTATGTACTCATCCCCTCCCTGGAGGGGTGGACCTGACCCAGGGTGACCATCCTGCCTGGCCCTGCCCAGCCTCCTCCAGGACCAGGTTGGTCACCTCGTTCACTCGCTCACCCCGTGTCCCACGGCTCTTCCCCCAGAGGCTCCTTCCTGGTGCCGCTCCTGAGGGAATGCTTCCGCGACCTGGGCTGGCTGGCCACCATCTGCCACACCGGCGGGGACGTGGGGCTGCTGGTGACCAGTATTGTCCCTCGGACCCCGTTCTTCTGGGCCATGCACGTCACGGAGGTATGGGCTTGTTGGTGGCCCCCGTGGGCTCGGCGCCTCCTCACAGAGCCTTCCCGGGGTGGGTGTGGTGATGGGCCGGTCCGCGGCGGCGTCCAGACGAGTGCATTCTAACCCCCCGGGTCCCGAGTCTTCCTCTCTCCCGCCTTGGACCTTGGTTCCCTGGGGGCCGGTCAGTGGTGCTGGCCGAGCAGGGGACGCCTGCAGAGCCAGATGTGGGATGTGCTGCAGGCAGTGAGGCCCGCGCATGTGTGCCACCTGCAGACTCTGCACCAGAACATGCAGGCGCTCTTCAGCACCCTGGCCGAGGCGGAGGAGCAGCAGCCCTACCTGCAGGACGCAGCCGTGCAGCGCGGGGCCCGCTGCCTGGCTGAGTACCACCTGGGCACGTACGGCCGGGCCTGGAACAGGTATGTGCCCGGCAGGGGTGGACGGCCTAAGGCTGGACAGTGTGAGAGAGGCCGGCGGACAGACGCTCCTTCCCTTCTCCCTCCTCGGGACTCTGGTTTCTTTCTTGCTGCTTCCTCTCCCGAGATCTGTGACTATGATCACTTCTCTGCCCGAGGAAGGGGAGAACGAAGGAAACTCGGCTCCGTTAGCCTTGACCTCTGAGCCTCTTTGTGACGGACCGCCGTGCATGCCGCCAGGTGGAACAGCCCTCCGTTCCTCCCTCCCTCTGGCCAGGTGCTGGGTAGTGGACAGGGTGGATACCTGGGCTGTGGTCTTGTTCATCGACTTTGGCCAGTCGGCCACCCTCCCGGTGCAGTGTCTGCGCAGCCTGGATAGTGATGACTTCTGGACCATCCCCCCTCTGACTCAGCCTTTCATGCTGAGGAAAGGTAAGATGCCCTCCAACATCCCCCCCTCCCGTCCCCCCCCCCAACCCCGGACTCAGGGATGGGAGATGCTCTGTCTGCCCCCAGGACCTCAGTGGGGGAGGGTGTGGGGGCAGCCAAGGCCCTCAGGGTACCCTTAAGCCTCTAGTCATTTGATCTTTCCCCGGTTTTTGGCATCTGCCTCTTGCAGAGCTGCCTCTTGGGTATTAGTTTTCACACCTGGGCTCCACGGGCCCCAGCAGGTGCTGTCCAAAGGCTTAGCTCTCGGGGTGCAGGGAGGGAGGGCAGGCTTCTCACCCCTGCTTCTGCCAGAGCTGCTCTGTCTAAAGCAGTGGTTCTCAACCTTCCTAATGCCGCGACCCTTTAATACAGTTCCTCATGTTGTGGTGACCCCCAATTTCATTGTCACAAATGGAACATAATTAAAGCCTAGTGATGAATCACAAAAACAATATGTAATTATATATGTGTTTTCCGATGGTCTTAGGCGACCCCTGTGAAAGGGTCGTTCGACCCCCGAAGGGGTCGCGACCCACAGGTTGAGAACCGCTGGTCTAAAGGAACAGCACATCAACAGAAGGCCCCGAGCCCAGTGCCCTCCACCTAACCATTTGTTTTCAGATTCTAGTTTTCTTCTGTAACAGAATCCTTTCCCCATGAAATCTTAAGCAAAACCCAATGTACATAAAACCGGTGAAAGCGGAGCGACTCTGTGAAAGGATGAAAGAATGCTTTGGGGGATCAGGAGAAGCAGAGGTGAAGACAGACAGACAGACAGACAGACAGACACACTCACTCCCCAAGTGTAGGCCCAGGCCCCCTCACCCCTGGGAGGCTGAGGGGAACGGTGCCTAGTGGTCAGGAGCACCACCCACAGGTCATCTTGGGTAATTGCCCAGCCTGGGGGGAACAGGGCCAGGGCTCTGGAGTTGGGGGCAGGCTGAAGGGGACTGCGTGGTTGTTAGGGGCCAGAGTGCCCAGCCCAGACGTGGGCTGTGCTGAGCTCCCTCCTGGACTTGGAGATGGCCCGAGAGGTCAGGCAGGCGGTGGACAGTCCTCCCCGGATGGATGAGGAAAGCAAAGCTCAAAAAGGTGAAAGGAACTTCCTCACCTCTCACAGCAAGAAAGGCATGGCCAGGGGTGGAAGTGAGGTCCGGCTTTAACATGGTCAGTCTCATGCGCAGACAGTCCCAGATTCGGAGGTTGGCAGGACAGCAGGAGCTGACATTTTGACCGGCGGCCTGCCCTGCCTCGTTCCAGCATGTAAACATGCTCATGGTGAGAGCATCTGCTTCTGACCTCTCTCCCTCTAGCGCAGATGCTCAGAGCAGAGAGGATGAAGTTTTTCTGTCCCCAGAATTTCCCATTAGAGAATGTGAAATCCGCCCAGCTGACCTGGCTCAGTGGTTGAGCTTCGGCCTGTGAACCAGGAGGTCACAGTTTGATTTCCGGTTGGGGCATATGCCCAGGGTGCAGGCTTGATCCCCAGTGAGGGGTGTGCAGAAGGCAGCCGATCAATGATTCTCTCTCATCGATGTTTCTCTCTCTCTCCCTCCCTCCCTTCATCTCTGAAATTTAAATATATATATGTGTGTGTGTATATATATATATATATGAAGAGAGAATGTGAAATCCCAGATTCGTGTCATTATTCCAGTAACAGTAATAATGTCCCCTCCTTTTATATATTCCTCGTGCACCCCCCCCCCCCCCCCCCCAAAAAACTCGGTTTATCCTGCAGCGGGGAGGCAGCCCTAACTAGCAGAGACTTGTAGGGGCTGCTCTGCATCTCCCCGTGGCCCGGCCTCCCACTTCCCTCCCTTGCTCCTCCCGCCTGACCCAGTGCCACCAGGGTTTTGTTGTTGTGTTTTGTTTCGCAGGCATTTTGAGTTCATATCAGCTGACCCATCACATCCTCAAAGGGAAGATCACTGGCGCTTTGAAATTGGAGGTAACTGCCCCGTATCTAACTCAGCCCTGCTCCCTCTCCTCCCACCCCAGGGCTCAGCTGCGGGCCAGTGCCAAGGCCTGGATTGCGGATTTATCTGGCGTTCCCTTAGAGGCTTAGACAAAACAACCTGAAGTTACCCAAGGGGTCGGGTAGACTGGCTGCGGTGGTCCTTCCTTCCCAGTGAGACTTTCTCTTTCTCTTGCAGCCACAAATCCTGAAGTTTGAAGAGTTAAGATGATGTGGCTAGCTAGCATCAGCTCCCTCCCTCCTTTATATATTCTTTGTGCCCCCTCTCCCTCCCCCTCCCCCTGCCTGCCCTGACCTGTGTCCCCCTTCCACTCGCAAGGCCACACTGGTGCCCAGGATTGATTTGATTTGCATTTGCCTTTACCCTCAGCTCCTCTCAGAAAAGTCTCAACTTTGTCTTGTGTCTTCAGTTCCCCACTCAGTATGGACATTTGAACCAAACCTAGGAAGCTTACATGGGAAGCTTCAGGTGGCCATGTATTTATTTTCTGTCTCTTTTTTTGTGCCCCCGGAGCACAATATAAATTGCTCCAACAGATTCTGGAGATTCTGGAGAATGGAAAGGCCCACGGCTTTATTTTCCTGGGATTCCATTGTAGAACCAGGTGGGGAACATTTAACCAGTGAGCCATCACCATGGAGAATAAATGTTGGCACGGTTCACGAGTTTGGGTGATTGATTCCTGTCTGGCCACCTCTCCCCATCTCTGCCCTCCCCTACCCACGGCAGTGAGGTGAGCTGTCTCAGGCTCTTATTCAGCTCTGGCTGCGGGCTCTGGGCTGGGCAGACCCTGCCTGGGATGGAGATTCATTCACACTTGAGGTGTAGGATACTGACCTCAAAGAGCTGTTTCACTTCTCCTTGCCTTAGAAGGAAACTGATTCACGATATGGCTTTGATTCTCCCATGATTTGTAACGCCATGAGAACCCTAAACTTAAGGTCATAAAGGGAATATTAGGTTTGACAAGAAAAGTGGAGGGTTCTCTGAGAGTTGCTGTACAACTCACAGGAGCTGGTGCCTCCCTTATGGCAGGGGAACAGGGACTCCATTATTTCTTTAAAAAAATTGATTAGAGCCAAACTATTTAAATAACTTTATTTGTTTCATCCTTTGGTAGATGAGAAAAATACATTACAAAATACATTATACAGAGGACAGCTCACAGTACACATTACTAAAAACACAATCTACATTTCAGCCAGGGCTGGTGATAAGTTCAGAAGAAAGCCACAAAGGCCTTGAAAACCAGATTTCCGCTCTATGGAATAAGTTTGCCCCTAGGGTCCCCACTTTATCTAAACTTTAGCACCCCATATCAGGTGGGTGTGGGTAGAGTTAGAGCAGCATTGAGGGGGACTGTTGAACTCTCCATCCACCTGAAGCAGCAAGACATTAATCCCTTAAAAGAAAATGGGGGGAAATGACCAATGTTAAAGCATTACAGAACTGACATCGTATAGGCGCCCAGGCAGCGCTCTCAATTCTGGGCTAAGACTAGCATCGTCACTGAGCCATCCCTGGCTTGTTATTGCGGTCATCACCTCGTCTGCAGGCATAGTCTGTCCCTCAGAGCCTGTCTCAACCCCAACGCAAGCTCACTGACGGGAGGCAGGCAGCACGTGTCAAACGCAGACCTCATACCCTTCCTTTTAAACAGCATGTACAGACAACACAGCACTGCCGGTTCCAGCCCCGCAGACTTCCTACCTCACTCTCCCCGCCCCAGCAGTTCCCAGAGCCTGGGGTGGGGACACAGGTGTACACAACAGCCCCCTTAAAGCTAACCTTCCCAGAGGACCCATCTTATGGAAGTGGCTTGAAAAGAATCCACAATTTTTCAAGCCAATTTCAGAGCTATACCTGTTTTCTCTTATGAGACCAAGGGAAGTGACAGAGAGGAGGGTGAGCAAAGAAGCTAGCCAGAAGCCGTTTCCCGGGAGGGAGGGGTTGGCGAACACCGGAGTTGTGGCATACAGAGCACACTGCTGAGACCAGAGGCTGAGTACACACGAGATCGCCTCCATCACCACTCAACTCATTTAAAAGCAATTCCATGAAACAGCAGCCTGGTGAGCCTCCTTTCCCATTTCCTTGTTCTTAGAAATTTGAAAACATCTGCAAGTAGAAGAGAAAAGTAGTCCTAAGAATTAAGGTCATCATTTCAGCCTGCTACACCGTGGCTCAGCAGGGCAGGCTCTGCATGCCAGGGGGACGAGTGCTGGTCGCTCCAGAGGCTTCAGACGGAATCTGAGTGCCAGGCGTGTGCTTCAGCTCCACCTTCCTCTGGCTTTAGCAGTGAAGTGCAGCCTCTCATCTCGACCCCTCCCCCACCACCCAAATAGTTTCGGGGATGGGGGTGGGGTGGATATGGGAACAAAAAGAAAGATGAGTCAAGACCAGCATCTTCAAATTAACAAACTGTAATTGTTTTCCCAAAGATACATTTTTTTCATACACATCCATCATACACTGTAACCAAAAAAAGCAGTGTACATGAAATAAGAGAAAATAAATTAAAAATCCATAGCATAGGTAAGGAGGCTCTAGTCTGGAGCACAGCTGAGTTTCCAGCAATATAAGGAGGCTCAAAAGTTTCTTTTATAAGAATGCCTGCTAGCAAGGGTTCCAGCCAGGTGGTTGGTTGGTCTGTAAGTCAGTCTTGAGTACTTGAAACAGTTCGGTGTTTGTTTTTTTCCTTAGCGTTTAGAATAGCCATCATTGTCCTGCAATAGGCAGAGCTATCACGTCCAGGAAAAATGAGGGAGGGAACCACAGAGGCAGCGTGAGATCCAAATACAGCATTCAAAGGTAATTGGTCCAGTGGTGCCTGGGGAAGGAGGAGGGGGCGGCGCTCCAGGGTTAGCCATCTTCCTTTGGGGGTGTGTACCAGCCTGCAAAGAAACCCAACAGTGAGGTGGAGGCTGAAGTCCCTGCTCCCAGCCCCGAGCACTGAAGACTCCAGGGTGACAGGTGAAATGACCCTAGGCAGGGCTTCCAGTGCGGGGAGAGGTGCAGGGGCAGGGAGACTGCCTACGGGGAGAGCGTAAGCAAGGGGAGAGGCTGTGCCCAGCCCGAGATGACAGGGTGAGGTGAGCTTTCTCACAGGGTGGTCGGGAAGGGGCAGCACCGAGGCCACATGGGGTATGGTGGCTGGTGCTTTTCTGGAGAGGAGGCAGTGGGGGTAGCCACCTCTAGCCCTTCTTTGGGTAACGGGCAGGTGCTGTGTTAATGGGTGATAAAGGCTCAGAAACCAGAAGGGGGTCCTTGCTACTTGGCTGGAAGGGAAAACCTCAGGCCTTCCGAGTGTCCGAATCCCGAGTCCTGGCTCCAGCCTCACCGTTTTTTTCGTGGATCTGCACCAAGGACTTGTAGGACTGCTGTGCTCTTGTCAGACTGTATTGAGACTGGGGAGAGGAAGCCGCCAGGTCAGGCCATGGCCAGCTGCGGCTTTACTGCCCCTCGCCTTCCATGAACTGTCACCCAGAGACCCAAACTTGTGCTCTGTTAACAGAAGTGCCCCCACCTGTAGGCCCCTCGGGGATGCAATCCCATAGCCTTCCCGTTCCAGACCTGTGTCCTCCCCGAAGCCTTAGGCAGCCCCTCAGGCCAAGGCCCTCTCCTGTTCCCACCATGGTGTCCCAAGCCCATGCATCCGATGCCTCATCCGCTTGGCTCCTCAGAGAGGGCGGCCTGGGCCTGCTAGTGGCCCAAATGATAACTGGCTCCAGCCCATCCAGCAGCCCCGGCTCCTTACTTTGTTGGCTCCAAACTGCACTCGTGCTTTCCCCTTCACCAGTGTGGCACTGATCTGCATGATCACGGACTCTATCGAGTAGGCACTGCTCCAGCCCTGGAAACGGGGGGAGCAGCAAGTCAGCAGAGCTCCCAGACACCTCACACCTGCTCTCCAGCAAGGAACTGTGTCTGTGGAAGGGGTCCTGCCCTTCACGCCCGGAATAGCCACCACCTGTTTGTCTGGGTCAATGGGTGCCGGGCTCTGCCTGGCGAAATGAAAGGGCCACATGAAGCCCATCACCCGAAAGCCACAGAGGTGTGCGGTGAAGCTCACCGAGCCCTGCCCTGGCCAGCCTGACCAAGAGCAAGAGACAGGCTCACCTGCTTGGTGAGAAGTTCCATGCAGATGGCACCTCCACCCAGCACATACCTGCGGAAGAAAGGTTATAGTCAGTTGTGCCTGGCAAAAGCTCACGCCCCTTTCTCACCTTCTGTAACAGGAGCTGCCCTCAGCCACTCACCCTCCTGAAAGGACTGGAGACACAACCCTGACAAACGGTGGGTCAAATGGAAAGTTATCCTGTGAGAGACAAAGGCAATAATTAGCGGGGGAGGCCAGGATCTGCCACAATTTTGTACGGTGGAGAAGGAGGCCTCGGCCAGGAGGGAGGGGCTGGAAGGGAAAAGACTTACTTTAAAGGAAAAGTTAAGTAGGATGAAGTCTGCACCTTCTTTCTCTTTGAGGATCTGGAGATCGTTGTGCAAAGCGCTGTCCTGGTCAACTCTATGAAGCAATGAGTCTGGGCTGACTCCTTGTCCTAGCTCAGGAGCCTTGTGTCGACCCCCACTGCCCACACCTGCTCCTGGGACTGCCCGAGACTCCCAGCACAGTGGCTCCCCACATACTGGGCCTCAACTTCCTTTCCAATCCCAGAGTCCCCACTCACTTGAGGAGTTTGACATTCCAGTCATAAAGACTGTCATTCACCAGTTCGACTGCATAGTTTCCTGGAAGGCGGGAAGACAGGTGTTAGTAGGATGGTCCAGTTGAGGATCCACCCAGGCTGAGAAGAAAAATATCAAAGGCTCCAGGTGCACCCCATGGACATGCAGCCAATCTAAGCCACTGGCTTGAGGAGCTCCATTCTGGCTCGTATCCTTAGAGAAGCTCCTGTTCAGGCCCTTCCCTGAGGCAAACTCACCACCTTTGAAACTCTGTGATCGGTATATATCCCTGAGCTCCTTCATCAGCCGGTCAGTGGCCTGCACCGAGCCAGATACTGCCCCCTGCAAGGGAGGGAAGACAAACGTCTCAGGGTCATGTGGTTTGGAAACACACATACTAGACCAGGGGTGGGCAAACTTTTTGACTCGAGGGCCACAATGGGTTCTTAAACTGGACCGGAGGGCCGGAACAAAAGCATGGATGGAGTGTTTGTGTGAACTAACATAAATTCAAAGTAAACATCATTACATAAAAGGGTACGGTCTTTTTTTTTTTTTAGTTTTATTCATTTCAAACAGGCCGGATCCGGCCCGCGGGCCGTAGTTTGCCCACGGCTGGACTAGACCTTAGGGGCAGTCTGGCAGCTTGTTCAGGATCTGAGCAAGGATTAGGCACACCTATAACTCACTCCAGAAAACAGACTGCTCCCAGACTGATAGGTGATGGCCTACCACCTTCTAGCCAGTACCCACCACCCCTTGGCCCAGCCTCTCCCTAGAAGGTACGTACATTTAAGTAATCTTGCCTCTGGTTCTTTTTAATTTTCTCTAGGATAGCCAAGTTTTCTTTTCCGATGCCATCATCTTCCGATTTCTTGCCCTCAGCTGGCTCTTCCTCTTTCATTTCATAGTGATCTAGGTCTTCTGTGTCCTGAAGGTGGGATGGGATAGAGAAAAACCAACACAGGTTGTGGAGAGGGGCCATCGCCTTCCCAGCCCCATTTGGTCTAGAGCTGCAAGTTAAGGAACAGTGGACTCTCCAGCAAGCTAAGGAACACGGCATCCTTCCTGTTCCGGCAACAATTCCCAGCCCCATTCCCTCCACAACCTAACGGACAAGGCGAACCCCCTCCCATTCAGTCCTACAGCAGAACTACGTACGGGTCTAGGGAAGCAGAGACTCATTTCTCGTCTCCCAGCCTGACCCTGCTCCAACGTTCCTAAAACTCTCCCTTGGCAGCAGCTCTTAATTCCTAGAATGACTTTGGCCTGACACTGTGAGAGATCATGTTTCACCAGGTGACTACTGTACCCAAGAATTCTCAGGACTCCAGGTTAAAGGAGGAACCTGGATCAGAAACCTCATGCCCGCCCAGGTGCATGACCTGAGTCAGCACAGGCACCACTGACAAGAGGGGAATGAGGAAGGCGGCCCAGCGAGGGAGCTTGGTAGAGGTCACACAGAGTCCACTGTGCATGATGGGAAAGCCCATATCCAGGATGTGAACCCTCTGTTAGATGCTGGGTGATGGTGCAGAGGGCTCTCTACTCTCGACAGGAGTAAGTTTCATGTGTCATGAGTCTTTTGTGTCTTAAGACCTTAACAAAGTTATAGAACCTGGGACATTAATGCAATGCCTGGAGACAAAGCAATCCAAGTGATCTGGCTCCAGCAGGACACGGCGATACTGACTTCCTAATTATTGCCGAACGTTCATTATGTCGGGCTCTATACTGGATGCCATACACACTAGCCCAGTTAATTCTTACAGCCACCGTGCCTTTATGTTATCGTTACTCCCCTTTTTACAGGTAAGGAACTGAGGTCTAGTAATGTTAATTCTCATGTCCAAAGTCATACAACTATTAGCAGAGCTAAAATGCGAATCAAATCTGTCTGGCTCCGAAGCTCAAGTTCTTAATTGTAATATTATGCAGAAATATCTATGTTTTTAAAATATATCAGATAAATTGTTTAGCACTATGTACTGCATGAAGCATTTTACATGCAATGCCTCATTTAATCTTTAAGACAACCATATATAGTAGATACCATAATTCTGTTTTATAAATAGGGAAACTGCAGCTTAGTAAAATTAGGTAAACTTCCCAAGTTAAGATAACCTCGGAGATACAGGATGCAAACCCAGGCCTGCTCAAAGCCATCTGAAATTAACTTGCTGCAGCCTGACCAGTTTGGCTTAGTGGATAAGCAGTGGCCCATGTCGGAAGGGTCTCGGGTTCAATTCCCGGTCAAGGGCACGTACCTCGGTTGCAGGCAGGATCCCTGGCCCCAGGTCGGGGCTAGTGCGGGAGGCAACAAGTCCAATGTTTCTCTTTCTGTCTCTCCCTCTCCCTTCCACTCTCTCTAAAAATAATGGAAAAATATCCTCGGGTGAGGATTTAAAAAAAAAGAAAAAGGAAAAGAAATTAACTTGTTGCTATTTAGTATAAACAGATTTGCACTTAACTGTCTTCAGTGGTTGGATGTGAGTGCCCTGTCTCCTCTATTACACTGGCCATTCCTCCAGGTCAGTAAATCTGTCTTTACTCACTGGCATTTTTCCCTCCCCAGTTTAGACTGGAGCTCTGTTAATCCTCACCCGAGGATATTTTTTTTCCCATTGATTTTTAGACAGAGTGGAAGGAAGGGAGAGAGACAGAGAGAGACATCGATGAGAGAGACATATGGACTGGTTGCCTCCCGCACATGCCCCGTCTGGGGCCAGGGATCAAGCCTGCAACCGAGGTATGTGTCCTTGACCAGAATCAAACCCAGGACCCTCCAGTCCACGGGCCAATGCTCTAACCATTGAGCAAAACAGGCTAGGGCTACCCTGGAGCTCTGTACACTGTGGATGCTCAAAGCTGCTGATTGAAAGTTTCCTGCCAATGCTGCCTCAGGTGGCAAGCCTACCTCAGGCATCTCCTCATCTTCATCTTCTGAAGACACGTCTTCCTGTGTGCACTGCAGTGGGGAGAGGAAAGGTGGGAGATCAGAGCCCAGTGGCTTCCTAGAATGCAACCTCTCACCTACTCCCCCAAGCTCCCAGGTCTGGAAGCTGTGTGCCCATCCATAACGCTGCCAGCCTGTCCACCAGCCAGATCTGAGTGGAAGCAACAGCCCAGGCAATGACTTCACTAGCAGCCCATTACTCTCCTCCTACCATATGCCAAAGTATAAAAGGGAAGCAGAGTGGCTATTTCTGTCACCCACCTCACAAATCCCAGTTTATTTTCCCCAAGAGGGATTCTTGCTTCTTGGTTCTTAACAAGGGGCCTGAGACCCCAATGGCCACCAACTTCTACTGGAACCCCCCCGCCCCCCGCCCCCTCTTCTCCACATAAGGTATATCGCCCATGAGAGTAAGTTTTGATAGGTGAAGCTATTAGCGTCCCATTTAACTAGATTCCCATCTGGGGAAAAAAGCAGCCAAGAGTCACAACACGTGTGTGTGTGTGTTTGGAGGGTCGGGTGCAGAGGAACTGCTGCAGATTTGTCTCCATCGCCCGAGTGCTGTCTGTGGGGTAACTGCACAAGGCCTGAGCTCCTCGGCTCCTCACCTGGTCTGCGGGCAAGGGCTGATCCAGCATCTCCACATCTGGATGCTGAGGGAGGTTATAGAGTTTACACAGGTCGGAGATGATCCTCTTCAGATGCTGCAATAGCTGGGGGTAGGGGACCACAGTGACATCAAATACTCCTTTCCAATCCCAATCTGGACAGGTACATGGATGAGCTCTTAGCTCAGAACCCAAATTGGTACCTAGTTCACTAATCTTATGGACCACGTAGCTGTGGGAGAGTTTACTGGACCCATCCTGGGGCTGGCATAGGTCTCCCCCGTTGTCCTTTGCAAGCAACTCCCCCAAGGAGTCTGCCCCCACAGTTCAGCCTACTGCACCACCCACTTTCCAGGTGTCTCCCTTTCACAGTTCGCCTTCAAGATATGGGCCCAACCTCAGCACCCTGGCCCCCTTACCAGAGTATTCCCCTTCTTTATGTCCACCAGCCTCTCCAAGACAGCAGCCAAGTTGGGGTCATCAGACTCCACCGACCAGATGGGGGGCACAGCAGGGTATGACTCCTGGCGGGAAAAAGAGCAGAGAGCGCGGTCAAGATGGGCAGCTCTGGGAAAAGCTACATTTTGCCTGCCCTCCACTCCTCAAAACTTCTAGTTCCTTTGCTCTTTCTCCAGCTCACGGAAGCCCAGCTCAGCAGGTCAGTATCTAATCCGGCAGCTTTCTGAGGAACCCTAGGCCATGAGAAGAGAGAGCGGCACAGCCACACTCTGAGAACAGTGAGGGGCTTATCCAGGTTCTGGACTTGAAGTTCTCCCACACCCAGCACCAAGTCCTCTTCTGATTTTCAAGCTCCACGATCAGCTGAGGAACAGATCACCTCACCACAATCACACTGATGTGAAAAAAGCAGACTACAGACCACTTTCAGTTTAACTGCGGAAGCAGGGATTGAAAACTAGATTGTATCTCCAGAATCTAAAAGTGAAAGGGTAGCAGAATTTCCACACCCCACTTCCAACAGGACCCCTCAAAGGCCAATTCTCCCCACCTCTCTCTTGGGAAGCTGCCACCCTCTTCGTCCAGGCGTAGGATGCAGGGCTCCACATGGCAGGCTGGAAGAGGCCTACGCTGCGAGCATTCCCAGCATTCCTGAGCCTCAGTGCCAAATGCAGCCGGACCGGACTCCCCCTCTCCCTAAACCAAGGGGCCAGTTCAGGCCAAGTCTCCTTTACAGGGGCCACAGGGTGTCTAACCGAGAACCTTCTAAATTAACTTCCTTTTAGGGACAAAGATAGTAGATGGCCGCTGGCAACTGGAAGGGCAGGTAGAAGGGGGAAAACCTACCCGTAAGGAATTAGTAGCTAAATTCAGGAACAAAATGAACTCCTGAGGTTTCCACATCTGCCAAGGAAACCATTTCCACGTTTACTAGGGGTTTCAGCTCCGCCATGGTTCTAATCCTCCACGCCGGAGGGAAACAAATGATTCAAGATGCCCCTGTCTTCACCTAAGCCACACCTAGTGCGTCAATCTTAACTTCCTACTTCAGTAGGAAAAAAGGTGATGTGTGTGGTTGGCGGGGATGGAAGAAGGAAGAAGTGGGACACGCGAGTTTTGGTGGGACATCCTCCCATCTGAGCCGAGGCCTGCCTCGCCAAACCCTGACCCGGTTTGATGAAGGAAAGGGACAGAAAACAGGAACCATGTCAACTGAATCAGGACCCAGAGTCCCACACAATCCACAAGCCTGTCTTTCCCCAGACTGCTCCCATTTGCAGCCTGCTGCCTGCCCGGATCAAGTCCTGTTCTCCGAGTCCTCAACCAGGGCCGCACGTGATCACAGCAGGTAGTGTAAGTGCTACACCGCACAGTACGGGCACTCCCAGGGTACCAGCGGCCAGCCCTCTTCAAGGGGTCTGTGAGGGTGCACCAGCCCAGCGAGCTGAGGGTGGAATGATGTCCACTGGGGAAAAAAGGAACCGTTTCTGTTCGGAACGGGATCGTCCTCAAACATGACCACCATTACCAGGAAAGGCAACACACAACCCCGGACAACTGGAGATATCCTCAGGGAACAGCGAGGGAGTGGCCGATCTGCTCCCAGCTGGGGCAAAAGGAGAGTTAGAGGTTACACCACAATGAAAGGGAACCCGAAGGAGAGGGTCAGCGGACTGCAAACCACCACCAGGTAGATTCAGAGGCAGAGGGGCTGCAGCAGGCGCCTGGGCAGGGCTCTCACAGGTGGCCGAGTCCTAAGCGAAAGGTGCCGTGAGAGGGGGCATCACTGAAACGTGTCGAGCTCCCGACCAAGTCCTTCCAGCTGAGGTCGGGGCAGAGGCCTGGAACCGGGCAATGAGCGCGAGGGGAAGCAAAGGGCACTCCCAGGTGGCAGGGTGAAGCCGTGGAGAACCCCAAATCGTGAGCCTGGGGATGTGGGTGGGTGAGTGGAGAGGGGCAGTGGCGGCGCTGCGTGTCAGAGTGTCCCTCACTAGGAAGGGTCCAGGGGGAAGCTTCTGGGTGCTCGGCAGAACCTCCAGGGGCGGACACAGTGTGACCTGGAGGGAAGGAGCGAGCCCCAAGGGGGGATTCGGCCTCCCAGGTCTCCCGAGATAAAAAAGCTGTGCGGGGGGACCTGGAGTCCCTGAGAGGGGGCTCCTGTGGAGGCGCACGCAAGGGGGTCCTCACCGTGATGTTGCAGTGGATGCGGACGGGATCCCCAGGCACCGACCCCCAGGCAGG